TTTTAATTGCCTTTGTTGTTGATGATGTTATCATCATTTTGATATAACTATTGTTACCATATTATTATTATTATTATTATTATTATTATTATTATTATTAATTGTATATTAATATATTTTATAATTATTATATTTTATAATAAATGATAATGATAATAGTAATTCATTTCCGTTTTCTTTTGTCCGAGAATGTTGACCTGCTTCGCCGGCGTGACTGACCTCGATGTCTCTTTTATTGGTGCTTGCGGCCGTTTCTGGGGTCCTCTTGGGGCGCCTCTTCGTCCTTATCACCTGACTCGCCTTCCCTCCCCCTCCCCGGCCCCCCTCTCATCCTACCCCCATTCCCATTCTGGTTTTCTCGTCTTCATTTCTGACTTGTTTGTTTGTCTTTGGTTGTTTTCTCTGATCTTTTCCTACAGTTCCTTTGTTTCTTGTCCACCTCCTTTCCCCTCCTTCTTCCTCCTTTATCGTTTTCTTGTTCCTCCTCATTCACCTCTCTTCTATTCTCTTCTCTCTCCTCTTCTCTTTTCTCTCCTCCCTTCCCCTCCCCTCCCCTCCCCTCCTCTCCCCCGTCCCCGTCTACCTGTCCTCAGCTGGCCGTGTTGAGAGACGCGAACCCCGCCTCCCATGTGTTTGTAAAGGCGTATATTTTGGGTTGTCAGTGCCAGCTGGTTGGAATGGCACCTCCACCTCTTACCTTCCTCCGCTTTCCTCCTACTCCCTCCTCCTCCCCTTCCTTCTTTCCTATTCCTCCTCCTCCTCCTTTCCTATTCCTCCTCCTCCCCCTCCTCCCTACCTATTCCTCCCTCCCTCCTCCCGCTGTGGTGTCAGACGCTCTTTGGAAGTGGCCTTTAATTCGTCGTTGGGGTTTGCGTTTGCAGTCGCAGGTAAGACGACCGAGTGTGGTCTGATTGACTGACTGAATAGATAGACGGGGGGGCGTTGGTAAAGGTGGTGTTGAAAAGGAGAGAGAGGGAGAGGGAGAGGGAGAGGGAGAGGGGGAGGGAGGGAGGGAGGGAGGGATGGGGGGTCCTGTTGCGTGCGAGGGAGGTAGATGGCGGTGAGACAAAGGGCTTTCGGAGGGAGATGATTAATGCAGATGTCGGGAGCCTCGCGCCGTGTTCTCTGCCGATCCGTCTGTCTATCTTTCCATTTTTCTCTCATTTCCCACATTCCCTTTTGACTCCTAAGCGCTTCGGAATGATTGCGTGAGGGAGATGGAGTCTCGCCCTGAGTGACATCCTCAAGAACCAAGTAAACATCATTTTTTTCTCCCTCTCTTTTTCTCCTCCCCTCACTTCCCTCCCTCCTCCCTCCCCTCACTTCCCTCCCTCCTTCCTCCCTCCTCACTTCCCTCCCTCCTCCCTCCCCTCACTTCCCTCCCTCCTCCCTCCTGTCTCCCCTCCCCTCCCCTCCCCGATCCCTGCAGGCGGTTGAGGGGCGAGAGGGACCCCGTGGGAGTGGCACCCCTAGGGCCAAATAAACAAGCGAGGGAATCGGTCGGTTATTTAGGGCTGCGAGGGACTTGAGGGACGTCTTGTTACAAACACTCGGGGCCTGCGTCGGGGTTCTGCCCGCCCGCCCTCCGCCCGCGCTTGTTTATACGTTCCCTATTTCTGGTGACGCGCGGACATGCCGCGGGCGTGCCGTGCTTTTACCTCCCTTCGGCACCGCCGTCGGCGAGCGTCTGCGGGCGTAGGGCCTTTGCCGTTTGGCCCGTGGGTTCTAGTGCTGCCTTGGAGGGGGCGGGGGGGTAGTGAGAAAGGGAGAAAGGGAGCAGAATAGAAGAGCTAGGAAGATAGCAGAATAATAGAGAGGATAGTAGAATAGAATAGAAGAGATTAGAAAAGAAAGATGGGGGGGAACTTGAACCCTTCTCCCCCTCCACCCCAACCCCTTCCCCCTCCTCATAAGTAGAGGGGAGGAGGGAGGGAGGGAGGAGGGTGCTGGTGAGGATGGGAGGGGGGGGGGGTGAGAGGATGTTCCTTTGAGGAGCGAGCGAGGGAGAGGGAACCAGCTGGGCCAAGATGGTGGGAATTGGGGCCGGTGGAGGCGAGGCGAAAGGAACCAGCTGGCACTCGGCTGTGCGCTTGTGTAAGTTCGTGTGTGTGTGTGTGTGTGTGTGTGTGTGTGTGTGTGTGTGTGTGTGTGTGTGTGTGTGTGTGTGTGTGTGTGTGTGTGTTTATACACGCTTGCGTGAGGAAGGGACCCCGACCTAGATTCAACGGAGGATAAAGTGTGAGATTTAAGATTGAGATTGAGATGGGATACAGGCTGGGGGGGGGGGGTCTGCACTGTACCAGCACCAATGCCAACATGAAGAATGTCAATACATAACAGGGGGAAGGTACGAGAGAGACACAGATAGACACAGACAGACAAAGAAAGAAAGGAAGAAATAGGACACAGCCAGAGATCATGGAGGGGGTAGGGGGAGGCCGCGAGAGCGAGAGCAGGAGGGAGAGAGCGGTGGCGGTTGTGGCTGCGGCGGCGGGAGCACCTGGTAAATATTTACCTGCGGAGATTATTGAGTGGCGGAGTTGTAGGTGGGGCTGGGCACTTCCCCGCGCTCCTTGCCGCCCCGCCCGCTGCTGCTCCTGCTCCACGCCCCTGCTCCACGCCCCTGCGTCTGGGGGGGGGGGGGAGAGGAAGGGGAAGGAGAACAGAAGTAAGTTGGGAGGGAAGGGGGAGAGGGAGGGGGAGGAAGGGGAAGGAGAACAGAAGTAAGTTGGGAGGGAAGGGGGGGAGGGAGGGAAAGACAGAAGGGGAGAAGGGAATAGAGGCAGTGCCTGTGAATGGACTATATCTGGTCTTGAGTTTCTTTCCACCTCTTCTTCTCTCTTCGCACTTTCTGCAATCCCCGCTTCTAATTACTCCTTGGGTCGCGAGCGTCTCGGCCAGCGGCAACGGCGTTCCAGTTGTCGCGACGGTTGACCGGCCGTGTCATGCTACTTCCCGCCTGCACAGCTACTTTTTGGCACTTCCCTTCGCCATTTCTTTCTATTTTTCTCTCCTTCTCTTCCTCTTCCCTCCTTCCTTCCTTCCTTTCTTTCTTACTTTCCGCCCCCCCCCCCCCCTTCAGGTCCTCTTCCTCCGCCTGTCCTCGCGTCTTCATCTTCCCCCATCCTTATTCTTTCATTGTTGGCCGTCTCCTCTGTCGGGTTGCGTCATGCGGCTAGGGGATTGCTGCTCCCTTAAACAGGTGTTGGCAGGGAGAGGAGGGGGGGGAGGGGGGGGAGAGGGGAGAGGGGAAGAAGGCATGTAAGGTACGCCCCGACAAGGACGTGCCGACGCTATAGTTTGGGTGGCACGCGACGTATGGCGTTCTCTCCCTCCCTCTCCCTCCCCTCCCCCTCCCCCTCCCCCTCCCCCTCCCCTCCTCCCCCTCTCCCTCCTACTCCCCCTCTCCCTCCCCCTCCCCTCCTACTCCCCCTCTCCCTCTCCCTCCCTCTCCCCCTCTCCCTCCTCTCCCCCCTCTCCATTTCTCTCCATTCTTGATCCGACTACTACTACCACCTTTTAAAACTTTGCGTCCCGAGTAAGGGAGAATGAGAAACCACGATAAAAAAGGAACAGAAGCCGACCTCTACCCCCCCCCCCCTCCTGCTGCCGCTTGCCCACCGTCGTCGTCGCCTTCGTCGGCTCCCCTGGCGATCCGAGGGGCGCCGTCGCCTCCAGGGGACGCGATGCACTCGGCGGCGGTGACGTCACGTCCACGGGTGCTGTTGCCATGGTTACGGCTTCGCTGGACGGGCTACTCGGGTGTTGCCATGGTGACGGGTGTCATGTGATCAGCTGGGGTGTTGGTAGTAACGCTGGCTGGGGGCGTGATTGATGGCGCGGGATGAGGAGGCGGCGCTGGGGGGGAGGGAGGGAGGGAGGGAGGGAGGGAAACCTTATCCATGCGGACGATTGGACGGACAGACACGCGCACGCAAGCACGTACGTGAGCCGTGTTAGCCTTCTTAAGCGTCACTCGTCCTTTCTTTTGACGACGACATTAGTGCCGTGTTTAGACCTGGAATTTTTTTTTTCTCTCTCTCTCTCTCTCTCTCTCTCTCTCTCTCTCTCTCTCTCTCTCTCTCTCTCTCTCTCTCTCTCTCTCTCTCTCTCTCTCTTTTCTCTCTCTCTCTCTCTCCCCTCTCTCCCCCCCTCCCCCCTCGCTTCTCTCTTCTCTCTTTCTCTTTCTTTCTCTCTTACTCTCTCTCTTTCTCTTTCTTTCTCTCTTACCTCTCTCTTTCTCTTTCTCTTTCTCTGTCATATATTCGCGGTACGATACACACTGTTATTATTTTAGTTCTTGGGAGCGGTTATGCCAAGACCCGAGGGAGTTACGCGGGTCTTCTCGACCGGTTTATATTCAGTCCCTTTCAAGCGACTCCGGAATTAGACGGAGAACGTGAAGTGCTTCCTGGCAGATTACTGTTGTTGTCATTATTATTGTTATTGTTATCACCACCATCATCACTAATCATCGTCGCCAAAGGGAAGCGAAACCTGGCTGGTTATTTTCCTCGTTTCTTTTTTTTCATAATCCTCACGGACAGGTTGCCTCACGGTTTTCTCTCCTCGTTTTCTATCTCATTCCCCACGGCAATGTTCACTCGTCCTCCTCCTCCTTCGCCTGAATCGTCCGTCGCCTCGTCTCGCTGTCGTCAGCGATTCGTCTCGGGATCTTGCGTCGAGCTATTTCTATGGCGCGTTGGCCCTCCGTTGGCTAACTATAGATAAAGAATATTGTTGTTTTGTCTTGGTCAACCTTTCTTTTCTTTTACCTGTGTGTCTTGTTTGTTATTATCTGTGTGTGTGTGTGCCTGTCTGTCTGTGTCTGTCTTAGTACGCGTGAAAGTTTTCAAGAATGCAAGATAGAGACGAAAGTGAGAGCGAGAGTGAGAGTGCAGGTGTGAGTGCGAGCGAGCGAGCGTGCGAGACATGACGCGAAAGTAGAACAACGCTTCCCTTTTTCTAAAGTTCCCTTTTCTCTCCCTCCCCCCCTGCAGGACAGAGTCTTGGCTACGGATTTGTAAATTACGTCCGGCAGGATGACGCCGAGAGAGCCATCAACCAGCTCAACGGTCTACGTCTTCAGAACAAAACTATAAAGGTTAGAACGACATGGTTTTGTTGCTTCTCAGTGTGTTTTATAGTTTGTTTATACATGTTCTAGAAATTATCGTTAGTGGGGAGGGAGTTTTGTATTATTAGTGGGGAGGGCAGGGGATCTCTTTTCTTGTTTTTGTTAATGATTAACTTGGCGCGAGCTTTTGTCAATTATAGCTTGAGTTTGAGTATTTGAATACAGATTTTTCTGTTTCAGTACTTAATCTATATTTTTCTTGTGTTTTGATATTGGTTTGCAGCAATGTATATGCAATTCATTACCTTGGATTAACGTAATTTTTATAGCATTTTACTTGACTCTTAGTTGAGGAATCGCCCTTTCATTGGCATCTGTTCATAGGATAAGTAGGAAAATGTAATGATCCCGCTAGGAGATAAGATTAAGACTAACCCGCCCTCCCCCTCCCCCTCCCCCTCTCCCTCTCCATGTGGACCTGGTGGTTCCTTCTCTCCTGCGTCCGTCATGACCCTCTTCTCTGCCCCCCCCCCCCCTCCTCCTCTCCTCCACCCTTTAACTCCACCTCCCCTTCCCTCACCATCCCTACCTCCCCCTCCCCCTCCCCCTCCACCAACAACTCCTACACTGTCCCTTCCTCGGCGTCCGCCCGCAGGTGTCGTACGCCCGCCCGAGCAGCGAAGCCATCAAGGGCGCCAACCTGTACGTGTCGGGGTTGCCCAAGTCCATGACGCAGCAGGACCTGGAGGGCATGTTCAGGGCCTACGGCTCCATCATCACCTCGCGGATCCTGTGCGACAACATCACCGGTGAGGCGCCGACCCGCCTGGCGGAGGGAGCTCCGGGCGGGCCTCTTCTCTGGGTTTTTTCTTTTTTTTCCTAATGCTGCAGTCAGTAGGTTTTGATGCAGGTTTTAATTGGTTGTTTTTTTCAGTTTGATATCTTTTAAAAACGCTTTTATTATTATGATCATTAGTTTTATGTTTACGTTAGGTGTAGGGCTTTCATTCTTGCTCTTTCCTAAGACTTGTTCTTCTTTGTTCTCTCTCTCTCTCTCTCTCTCTCTCTCTCTCTCTCTCTCTCTCTCTCTCTCTCTCTCTCTCTCTCTCTCTCTCTCTCTCTCTCTCTCTCTCTCTCTTATTCTTCTCACTCTCCCCCTTCGCCCTCGCCCTCGCCTGCCTCTCGCAGCTCGGGCTCTGAGTCCTTCCCTCCCAGCGAGCCAATTTCGGTCCTCCGGTAAATATTCCTCCAACACGGGATCACACTTCCCGTAATGGCTTTTCGACTGAAATATTTATCGTCGGCTGCCGAATGAAGGAGCAGAGAACAGTGCTCAATAAATGGTGCAAAAGGAGGAGGAAGTGGGGCCGCCTTTTCTTGTTTTTCCTCTTTTAGTTTTTTTTCTCTTGCTTCAGCCTTGTTTCTTTCTATATTTGATTCTCTCTCTCTCTCTCTCTCTCTCTCTCTCTCTCTCTCTCTCTCTCTCTCTCTCTCTCTCTCTCTCTCTCTCTCTCTCTCTCTCTCTCTCTTTTCTTCCGTTTCTCTTTATCATCTCATATTCTGTAAGTTCTATTTTCTTCGTATTTCTTGGATTTTCTACCGTCGTTCTTCCTCTTCATCTTCCTCTCCTCTTCGGCAGCTTCATTCCTTCTCTTTCCATTATCTCCCGTCGGCATATTTTTTTTCTCTGTATGGTTTAATTACGTTGTTCCCCTCCTTATTTTAATTATTCTCCTCCCCTCTTCGCTTTGCCCTTTTGCTGTAATTACTCCGCTCCTCTCCGTCCCTCTTTCACTCCTTTATTCTCTCTCTGTCGTCTCTTCTTTGCTCTTCGTCTCTCTATCTTTCTCTGGGTTGCTTCAGATCCCAAGCCCCGCCTTTGAATAGGATTATAAACCCTTTGTTTTAGCTTTTTTTTCTTTATCTTTTGAGTCTTATTCTAGTTCCAGTTCGAGTTCTGTCACCATTTCTAAGTCAATTTTTTTTTTTTCTTAATGTGATATATAGTATAGAGTTAGTTACACCCAGCGTAGTTCTCAGTAAGCGGTTCCCTCAGGGACCTTGTAGAGCCTTGCCTGATTTCAATCTGTGAGCCTCGAGTGTTTCTTGGCGTGCGAGTGTGACTGACCGGCCGCGCCCCGCCCCCAGGCCTGTCGAAGGGCGTGGGCTTCATCCGGTTCGACCAGCGCATCGAGGCGGAGCGCGCCATCCAGAAGCTGAACGGCACCATCCCCGACGGCGCCGCGGAGCCCATCACCGTCAAGTTCGCCAACAACCCTTCCAACAACAACAAGGCTGTCCCCCCCCTGGCCGCCTACCTCTCGCCCCTGACCCGCCGCTACGGGGGGCCCATCCACCACCCGGCCGGCCGCTTCCGCTACATTCCGCTCTCCCCCCTTACCAGGTGAGTGCGTTGCCCGGTGACGGCCTTTCCACACACACTCTTTTCTCCCCGCCCCTACCCCCCTCAGAGAAAGAACGAAAAAGAAAAAAAAAAACAATCTTGCTCTCCCCTCCAAAAAGTACCCCTCCTCCTTCCTCCAACGCTCCCCCTTCCTCCCCCTTACCCCTCTCCTCTCCCGTGTCCTTCACCCCCCCCCCTCGCTGGCCCTTCTGGTTCCATGCCCCGCGCTTGGTCCCCATCATCTCTCTTCGTCACCTCCCCCCCCCCCCCCTTTTCCGTCCCCTCGTCTTCCCCATCATCACTGTCTCTTTCCGTTCCTTGCTTCATCATCGGTCTTCCCGCAGACACGACATCAGAGCTCACACATGCACGCGCGCGCATACACTCAGGGGGAAAATAATGAGAAGGGCGTAGATGGGAGGAATGACTCACTGAATAAAGCTTGAATTATGAGAAAGGAGTGAGTAAGGGGCCTGGGCCATCAGTGAGGGAGAAGCGCGTTGGGGAAAAACACAAAAACACAAACAAGACACGTTCTCACACCTCCCCCCCCTACACACACACACACACCCCTCCCCCCTTCGAGACGACCGAACACGTCAGGCACACGAAGCGAAGGCGACACGGCAGCCAAAGACAGTCCACATTTAACCAACTTTTTTTGTTGCAAAGTTGGAAATGCAGAAAATGAGAAGGAAATGCACACTGCCCACAGATGCCCAGAGGAGGAGGAGGAGAAGGGAAAGGATTTGTAGATTTCGGTCTACACGGTCTCACTCAATTGCATGCTCAGGACTGGGCTCTGTTTGGGGGAAAGACGTGACGTTTGAATGTGCATTTTCAGCCATACATGCGAGATTAGTCGTTTCTGATTGTGCGTTATAAGGTCTAGAACGAAAAATACGAACACCGATTGAGCCCCGACTCACACACACCCCGTCTCCCTCCCCCTCGTCAAAGTACAAGGAAATTATATTTTAACTTTTCTGCTTCTTTTCTAGCTCTGGCACTCCATATCACACGCCCTCTACCACTTTACCCTTTCCTTCACGCCCGCCCACCCACCCATCCACCTACCCACTTGCCTCCCCTAGCTCACCCTCGCGAAACCCACGAGAAACCAGAGAAAGCTGCATGCATTTCTACAGACGCTTGGTACACCACAGATATTCTCCCAGTCCCACCCCCTCTCCCCTCTACTCCTTTATCACCTCTCCCCTCTTCTCCCCTCTCCCCACCCCTCCCCCCCACGACCCCCTCCCCCCCACACAAGCTCACAGACAGAGAAAAGAGCGCGTGGTTTCCGTCCGCTCTTCTCACGTCTCACACTCGGCACATTATTATTATGATTACTGTTATTATTATTATTATTATTATTATTTTTGTTATTCACAACAAATTTGCACCATTTTTATCATTTTCGTTTTGTGTTGCCCGTTTTTTTCCGTTTTATACATTAAGTAAGTAATGTCAGCATCGGTGTTGTTGATTTTATTTTGTATCTACTACTTTGCATATTTATTTCTGTTCAGTTTGATCTTGTTCTCCCTTGGAAAGTAAGAAAGACACAAAGTTGCTAAATGTTTACTTGATTTTTCTTTTTGTTTTTTCGTATGTTTGATTTGTTCTTGCATCTTATCAGAATGATATATACTCTTCAAATATCATATTCAGATTGATGTTTGTAATATATTGTTCGTAAATTATTGTTATTATTATTGTTGTTGTTGTTGTTATTATTATTATTAGACTTTGCAATATATATATTTATATATATATTTTTTTCTCTTAAGAATTAGATGTACCAAACTTCTTGTCTCTTTCCCGTACAATATGTTGTAGAATAATCAAATAGTAGAGTAGTATTTCTAAATATCATTTTGAAAAAAAAGGAAAAAAAGAGTACAGACTTTCCTCGGGAGATTCTGGTCCTTGAAAGATTAAGACAATAAAAAGTAACGTTACAGAAGCGAAGGGGCGTGGGGGGTGGAAGTGTTGGGGTGGGAGGGGCGTGGGGGATCTCATGGCTTGACCTCCCTCCCTCCCTCTCCCCCCCAAACCCCCCTCCCTCCCTCCCTATCGAGCACTGCTGACTTCCCAAAGGCCAACATTCGGGCGCTTTGTCACTCAGTAGCCCGCGAAGGAAAAAAAAGAAAAGAGAAAAAAATCAAGTTCGCCCACGACATTCCCTGCCTTCCTGTCCCTCCGCCCTCGCGCTCATATACCCACGCACTACTTGGCTCAAGTTTGCTTATATGTATTTTATTTTATTTTTATTTTTATTATACACAAAGCGTGCGCGCGCGCGCGCACACACACACACACACACACACACACACACACACACACACACACACACACACACACACACACACACACACACACACACACACACACACACACACACACACACATACACACACACACATACACACACACACATACACACACACACATACACACACACACATACACACGCTCGCTCGCTCGCTCGCTCGCTCGCTCACTCACTCACTCACTCACTCACTCACTCACTCACTCACTCACTCACTCACTCACTCACTCACTCACTCACTCACACTGTGTGTGTGTGTGTGTGTGTGTGTGTGTGTGTGTGTGTGTGTGTGTGTGTGTGTGTGTGTGTGTGTGTGTGTGTGTGTGTGTGTGTGTGTGTGAATACATACATACATACATGTACATATAAATGCATGTATGTATATATATGTATATATGTATATATATTTGTATGTACATATATATATTTGTATGTACATATATATATTTGTATATACATATATATATTTGTATATATATATATATATATATATATATATATATATATATATATATATATATATTTACATTTACACACACACACATACATTCATACATATGTATGTATGTATATACACATACATACATAAATATATATATATATATATATATATATATATATATATATATATATATATATACATATACATATACATATACATATACATATACATATACATATACATATACATATACATATACATACATACATACATACATATACATACATAAATGTATGTATATATACATGTGTGTATATATACACATATATATATAAAATGCCCTGCCAGAAAATACGCCTTGAATCCTATTTAAAGAGGAACAATAAGGAAGCGCACTCCCTCCAAACAAACCAGCTTCTGCAAACAGTTATATGGCGCCCTCTTTTACACTGTAGGGGGGGGAGGGGCCTAGGTTACAGTCTTGGCATTTTCGTTGTTCCGCTTCGGTCACGAGGCGCGGGGTCGACGCGCTTACACTTACTTACACTTACACTCACTCGTTCTTCCTTTCTTCCTTTCTGTCATTACCCAATTGGTCATCATCGCGTTTGCTTTCACATTACACTTCCCGACACGTCACGCAACAGACGGGCGGCTTAATTCTCATAAATCTTGGAGAGAAGCGAACCGTTTGTAGACGATTTCTGGCCGCCTCTCTGTCTCCTTTTCCTGGAATACCCGCAGACCAGGAACACAGGGAGAGTGCTTCCTTATTCTTCTTTGTCCCTCAGTTTCCATTTTCCTTCAGCTTTTTTTCTTTTTTTTATTTCTTTTTTATTCGTTAGTTTTTCATTTGTTTATACACGACACCTCTTGTCAGTGAGCAATGCGCTTCTTTTCGTCCATTTTGTCACCACTTCCGTCACACGCATTTGTTGATTCGCTGGTTGCCATCGTCTCCCATCAGCTCATCTCACCTCCGTTATTGACATCCCCCCCCCCCCACCCCCTTCCTTCTCCGCCTTTCCTGCGTCTCCCTCATCCTTCCGCCATCCCCACCCAACCCCCTCCCCAGTACCTCTACTACTATCATTCTCTCCCTCGCCCTCTTCCTTCCTCCCATTCCCTTTTTTATCCCTCCCTCCTTGTTACCTCCACCATTTCCCCTCCCCTCCCCTCCCCTCCCCTCCCACCCAAGGGGACCTGTATGCATGCAGAACTTCTCAAATTGCTCCTTTGCGCATGCGCCTATATTACATAATGTACCTGTCTTTATCTCGCATTGCAGGTGAGGTGGGGTCGGGTAGGAGGGAGGGGGCGCTTGGGGTAGGGGAGGGAGGGGGCTGGGATGGAGGGGAGGGGAAGGGGAAGGGGGTTGGGATGTTGGGGCTTTATCTCGCCTCGCTAGCTAAGCCGGGGTAGGGAGGGGGAAGGGGGGAGGGGAAAGGGGGAAGGGGAGGGGAGGGGAGGGTGGGGGGGTTTCAGTTCTCTTATTCTTTTTAGTTTTTGTTTTTATGTTCCTATTATTATTATTGTTTTTATTATTATTATTGTTATTCTTATTCTTATTATGCTTTCCATTCCATTGAGATATTGCTTTGGTGTGTACAGATGAAAGTTACGATTCTGTTTTCTCTTAGTTTGGGTTTTTGTTCTCTTTTTATTTATTTTTTATTTTTATTGTTTTTTTTTATTTACTTCTGTATATTTTTCTGTTGGTATTATATATATATGTGTATATATATATATATATATATTTTGGAGTTAGTGCGCATTCTCGAAGGACAATTGAGATTTTTTGCTCCCGGAAATTTCAACATTTTGCCATTCTGTTCCCTTTTCCTTCCTTCCTTCCTTTCCCCCTTTTCCCCTCCCCCCTCCCCCCAGTCGTCGCTCTCCCTTCGGATCCTTCCACGTGCTCCATCTCCCTTTCTCCTCTCCGGTTTTCTTTCCTTCCCTTTCGCCATCTCCCTTTCGCCCCCCCCCCTTCCCTCCACACACCTTCATTCTGAAATATACATTAGTTATCCAATCTTTTTTTTGTTATTCTTTTTTCTTCCCTTTCATCTACCACTATTCCTATTTACTCCTACGTTTCTCTTCTCTCCAATATATTCTCTCTCTCTCTCTCTCTCTCTCTCTCCTTCCTTCCTTCCTTCCTTCCTTCCTTCCTTCCTGCCCGTTCATTTTCGACAGTTATTTGAGTTTTATTTCATCTCCTCCATCTCTCACTCTCCTCATCTCTCTCTCTCTCTCTCCTCTCTCTTCTCTCCTCTCTCTCTCTCTCTCCTCTCTCTCTCCTCGTCTTCTTCCTCCTCCTTCCTTCCTGCCTTCCTGCCACTTGCCATCTCCTGCCCGTTCATTTTCGACAGTTATTTGAGTTTTATTTATTTTATCTCATGTAAAGCCCCTCCTGCACAATTACAACATTTCATATATAAAAAAATTAAAATAAAATAGGGAAACATGTAGTTGATAAAAACACACTTCGATACTGGATATTTTCTTTCACACAGACACCTATATTTATGCTAGATGCTTCATATTTTTGTTTCATCCCCCCCATCCCCCTCTCCCATCCTCTCTCTCTCTCTCTCTCTCTCTCTCTCTCTCTCTCTCTCTCTCTCTCTCTCTCTCTCTCTCTCTCTCTCTCTCGTCTCTCTCTCTCCCCCTCCCTCTCTCTCTCTCTCTCTCTCTCTCTCGTCTCTCTCTCTCTCCTCTCTCTCTCTCTCTCTCTTTTTCATGTTTTGCATCTTTATCACACCATGTAACCTCGTCCTTATTCTTTTAAAGTCCATATCCCCACCTACTGTCCCCTCCTCCCTCCCCTCCCCTCCCCTCCCCCCGCTCCCTA